CTGCCGCAGCGCAGCTGGGGCGGCGTGGCCCTGCTCGTCGCAGCTGCTCGGCGAAGACGCCCACGAGTGCGTCTGCGGCGGTGCGGAGCGGCGCGCGGCGGCTCGACCGCGGGCTTAGCTCCCCCCCTCTCTATCATCTTGTGTTTCCCTCCTCCTCCTCCTCCTCCTCCTCCTCCTCCTCCTCCTCCTTCCTCGTGCTCCTCCCTTTCCTCCCTTTTCCTCCTCCTCCTCCTACTCCTCCTCCTGCTCCTCCTCCTCCTCCTCCTCCTCCTCCTACTTCCCTTCCTCCCTGCGCCACGGCTTCGGAGGGCCCCCCCAAAAGGGACCAGCGTCCCCCGAAGGGGGGCGCCAGGGCAGGCCAGACAGGCCGGTCTGCCCGCAGGGCCGTCGCCTTCAGCGGCGGGCCAGTCGGAGCGAGTTTGACCAGTAGCCGAGGCGTAGGAACGAACGAAGGAACGAACGACCACCAGTGCGGACAGTGCCCAGGCCTGTCTGAGACCAGGTGGGCGAGGCCGTAGCCCCAGAGGTTCTGTGGTGTGTGGTTGGCCATTGGCCCTGCGTACGGGACATGTAAACAATTAGGTCAGACGACGGAGGAGGAAGAGGAAGAGCCCACGCCACTGAGAAGGTCTCCGTTCCCGCCGCACTAGTGACCGCAGGCGGCTGGGCCACTCGGAGCCTCGTCGTCTCGGGCGGCCTGTTCCCCGAAGGTGTTGTCGAAGGTGAAACGTGGGGGGACGTGCCACCCGAAAGAGGCTGAAGATGGTATGTATTCATTATCATGGTACTGCGCATGATGGGCGCCTACCAACAACTTTAGTGTGGGTGGGACACCACCAGGCAGGGAGGAAGGAAAACAAGGGGGGGCGGGGGTGCGGTCATCGCGTCGTTGTCAGTCGCGGCCGTCGTGGTGTACGAGGCCGGCGCGGGACTTGTCGTGGGGGTGGCGGTAGTGGTCGCTGGCGGCGTGGTGCGAGGGCGGCATGGTAGTTCTGGTGGTTGTCGATCGTGCTGGCTTCAAGCCGTGGTAGCGGTAGCCGTGGTCACCGTCGTCGTGGTTGTTATGGTTGCTGGCGGTGGTGGGCTGATCGTGGTGGCCACTGGCGCAGTAGTGGCCCGCCAGCGTCGTGGATGGATAGGGCCTCGTGGTGGTGGTGGTGGTGGCGGTGATGGCGGAAGCAGCCTGCTGGCATTTACCTCCCCAGAGAACCGAGGATCATTTCCGCATTCGATTTTACAGGGTGCAAAAGATGTCGCGCCATATCTGGCTGAAAAGCTCGGGCCGCCCAGCATCCTTCAGGCATGCGACGTAGCTTCGCACGTAGCTCACTGCCTCCTTCGACGGCCGCTCCCCAATCTCGAAACTATCGGGCCGAGTTTGGAGCCCTCTCAGGGGGATACTGGTTGCGTCTGTCGTCGACCATGTGGGCAGTCGCGAGACCATTTGCTTGGGAACGGGCGAGCCTGCGTGGGACGTGCGTACTGTAGTGCATGCAGGTCACCGCCTAGTGCACAAATAGGGGCCGGTTAGTACTGGGGTTGTGTTTGGATCTTGTCTCCTGTAACACCCCTTGTGTTCGGATCTCCAGCTTTGCTTCCTGTGACGCCCGAATCCTAGAACGCGTTGCTCTGTTGGTGCCGCATGACCCGTGATGCCCTCATGCACCTTGTCGGTCATGTAGCCTGTTGTGCTTGTCGGTGCGAAAACCGCCCACCTCGCGTGATTTAGCCTAGAGCCCGTAGGGGTCGATGGGGCTCTTCACGCAACGTTCCGCTATGTCGGTGTTGGCATTATGAGCCACCTGGGCAGACGGGCACCCGAACTCGGCACATAAGGTTCCCTCCTACCTTCCTCCCTCTCCAAGATGGTTCTTTTACCCATTGGGGCTCACGCGAATTACGGGGGAGGTGGGGTCGACCAGGGGGGGCCGCGGCGTGCACCCCCCAAAGCGCGCCCGCAGCACCAGAGCAACAATCGCCTGTGTGCGCCACACTCGGACGAGGAGGAGGAGGAGGAGCATGAGGGGGAGGAGGAGGGGGGAGAAACCGTGCTCGGACCTTGGGCCCAGGCTTTGCGCCAGAGCGCAGCTGGAGCCCCCAGGTGAAGCACAGTCTTTGCCCGCCGGCCCCAGAGCACGGCACGGTTGAGCTTCGTTCGACGGAGAGGCTCGCGACAAGCATCCCGCTCGGACGCCGACGCAGGTGTTCATATAATATACAAACCACGAGTGCGCCACCCAGTGCAGCAGCCTCTGCCCTACCACCCGCTGCCCAGCGGTCAAGGTGAGACGGCCGCTCTCCAACGACCTTCTGGACACCTGAAGCGAGACGACGATGCCCAACAACACGTGTTGTCCCAAACCCGCAGCGACTGCTGTTGGGAAGACGCCCCTGGCCACCAGCGGACAACGTCCGCAAAACCGACAGCGACTTCAGCGCAGAGTGGGCAGGACTTGCTGCCAGTCGTCGCCCCCGTTCGTAAGGGGCCCCGCCCCGCCTTGGCCCCTCCCTGAGATCTGCGGTGAGCGCCGCTGGCCCGCGCGGCCCCGCCCCGCTGTCTCCGCGCCCTGCCCTCCGCCCCCCCCCCCCCCTCTGCACGGCGCCGAGGCACGGCCTCGCGCCCGCGAGGTGATATGCGCGCGGCACGCGCCACTGCGCGCGCCGCGGGCGAAGCTTGGGCTCGCCGCGGCGCGGCCTCCCGTGACGCCGCGCCGAGAGCAGGGTCCTGCAACCATCGACCCCGTCCCCGCGCTTTCGGCCGCGGCCCGCTCTCGAGCGTCCGGGAGCGCCCTCCTCCCGGACGCTCGAAAGCGGGCCGACCCCCAGACGCCGAAAACTGGATGGGCCCTCCTCCCCTGAGAAGTCGGCTTCCAAGCATGTCCTGGAGCGCGCTCTACCAGAACTGGGAAGCGAGTCCAGCCGTGGCGGTGAGGGCCCCACAGGAGGCTCCCTCCCTTCTCCTCCTGCTCCATTCTTTCTTCTTAGAAAGGGTGGGCCAGGCGATTCGCATGAGACTTCCTTTCCATGTCTGATCCTGAAGCTTGAAATTTGCAGCAGTTTCACGGACGGAAGGCGGTGGTTTCCAACATGTGGCTCTCGCCTTGGCGCCGTGCAGATTCGTATTAAACATGGATGGAGGGCGGAACCTTTTCAAAATGTGGCTCTCGCCTGAGCGCCGCGCGAATTCTTTTCAATATCAAGGAATTTTACGGATGGAGGGCGGTTCCTTTTCAAAATGTGGCTCTCGCCTGAGCTCCGCGCGCAATCGTTGTCAGAGCTTACAGGAGTTTCAGAGATCTTCATGGTTACCGTGCCAGAGATAATGTTTTGGCACGAGGTCAGACTGTCAGGGCGCCCCAGTTACGTTAATTCGCAGTGTTGGCGTCCCAAGAACGGTGTTCTGGCACGACTCAAGATCGTCAAGACGCAACGGTGACTCGCGGCGTTGAAGTCCCAGGAACGGTGTTCTGGCACACTTCCAAGTATACATCCATATGGCAATGAATTCTTGTATGTGGCCTATAGATTGGGAGCTTGGAGAGAGGTTTGATTGCAATGTCGATGATGAATCTTAGGTTCACACTGGTCCTCTTCCTCCTCCTCCTCCTGCTCCTCCTCCTCGTTCTCGTTCTCGTCCTCCTCATCGCTCCCTCCCTCCCCTCCAGCTCGCCCGCGCAGCCCCACGCTTTGCCCCTTCAAAACTATGTAGGCCGGGGGGTCATGCAGGCTGCGAGTTTCGTGCACATCATGTGGCAACGCGTCGTTCGTGTTTGTTCGGGCGGCCTGCTTGGAGTAGGCGGTATGTATATCCAAATCGAGACCACAGTTGTCACGTTTTGTCTCCACGCAATCGCATTTGTGTGTGATCAGACGCGCCAGATTATGCAACGGACTAACCACTTTGAAAACAAACGATACATTCCCTCCTCCTCCTCCTCCTCCTCCTCCTGCCCCGCCTTCCTTTCATGTGGCAGCGACGGTGGCGGGCGGGGCGGCCTCCTGACCCGCGCCTGGCGCTGCCGTGGACGCGGGCGACGGCTCGGAGATCTGCCCCCCTGGTGGGGCGCGGAGGGGAGGGAGGGTAGTTCGCGCGACGAGCGGGGGGGGGGCTGGATGAGCACTGGGAGGAGTGGGTGGGGCGAGGACAGGCTGGAGTTGGACGATCCTCAAAACGGATTGGCGCACGGGGGCGCGGGAAATGTAATGATGAAGGGTGGAGGAGGGGGGGGGAAGAGGGAGGGGGGGGAAGAGGGAAGGGGGGGGGGCGAGGGAGAAGAGGGGGAGGGAGCGAAGGGAGAGGAGGGGATGGGGAGGAAGGATAGGAATGTCCAAGGCCCCCTCCATGAACACTCTAAAACCTTCCTCAAACCCTTCCACGCCACATTCATTTTGTCGGGCCATGCTCCTCCTCCTCTTCTTCCTCCTCCTCCTCTTCCTCCTCCTCCTCCTCCTCCTCCTCCTCCTCTTCCTCGTCCTCCTCCTCCTCCTCCGCTCCCCGGTCCAGGAAAAGGGCGCCTCTTGGTTTTGGCTAGTTCTAGTGGATTGTGGAGACTTTTCCGATGTTCCAGGGTGTTCGAAAACGCCCCAAGTATTCTACGTGAAAGCCTGGGGGGAGGGAGACGACTCCCGCGGCGGCCGTGGACCAGCCTGGCTGGTAATGGCGTAGGCAGTAAAGTTCCAAAGAACAATTCACCTCCGAAGTGCAGAACGGGATCCCAAACCTCGAACGCGATACAGAACTTTGCCCAAACCTACATGAAAGTGCAGACGACAGCCCAAGCCTGCAGGAACCAGCAGGGCCGATCACAAGCTTCTAGGAAAAACGTACACAGAGGCAGCACGGGCTTGCGTCGCGCGGCCAACGTGACGCAGAACATGGACGTTTCAATGCCAATATGGCTGACCATGCGGCGCCGCAAGCTTCACCCCACGACACCAAACCATACCGCACCAACGCCAACGTGTCAGCACACGTCCACCTGCTGAGCGCGAATCAAGCCCCGTGCCGCTCGTCTGAGTAGCAAGCGCGCTGCATTTATGCGCGGACGTTGTGGCATGGGCATGCAGCGTTGCACGCGCGTTCGTGGTTTCCACAGTGCCGCGCATCAGCGTGTGATCGATGCCGCGGCCATGCGCACTTGAGCTACAAAGGCCAGGTGCTTACCTCGACCGATGGGCAAACGTGAGCAGCCTGGACCATGCCCGACACGCAGCCGATGGGTTGCAACATAGGTCAACAATGCGCCGGGGGAGGCATGCCGAACTCGGGGTAAAGCCCCATTGGCGCATCGCGCGCATGCACCGCGCGCGCACGCCCCAAGCATCGCACGATGAACGCTGCCAGCGCGCACGGCATGCTGCGCGGAGGAGATCCATTGAAAGGGGCAGCGCAGCGGGGCGAAGGCAATGCCTCGCCCACATCCGTAGATATCCGAACGAGCGCGTGTACCCCAATTGCGCTCATCGTTCGGTCATCGTCGCGTGGGCCCAGTAGCGAAGTCAAGACGCGCGCGGGCCCGAGAGAGGCGGACACCGCGCGCTCGGACGTTTGTCCTGATCGGCGCCATCGCACCATCACCGCGTCAAAATAAAGCCGCCGCCCCATCGACGCATCCCACCGCCGCGCAGACGGGCGCGCGACTCGACGTCGCACCCCGTCTCATCACGTGACGCGCGTTCCTAATGAAGATGACCAGCGGCGCGGTTCACACAAAAGGGCGGCGGTTCACCCAACCTAGCGGCTGCGATCGGACTTGCCGAGGTGACATCCCCAGCGCCAAAAAAGCATACAGCGTGGGCTGCTCAGCTTCGTGGCCCCGCGTTTCACGCCGCCAGCGCGCGGCGTGAACTCGCGCATGCGTTGTTTCAAGCACACTGGATGGGGGGGCAAGGGCGCCCCCTCGCTACTCGGCGCGTCGCTCTCACGGCCGCCCGTCGTGTTGATGGGTGCATGTTAAGGGGACACGTGCTATTAAGCATTGGCCCGCGCGCCGGCGCTACCGTTGAGCAACGGCGCGCGCGCTGGCAGCGCGGAGCCACGTGCGCAGCAGGAGGGCACAGGAGGGGCAATCTCAGAAATGACACGAGCGAGGGGAGGCAGCCCAGACGATGGCGAGACTGCAGGGGATGCAGACGTATAGCACAAGGGGGCGACGACACTCAGAAATACTACGAATGACGAATGGCGATAGAACGGAGTAGGTAGAGTGAGGGGGGAGACGTTGGAACATTGCAAGCAAGACCTGCACCAAACTACACAGACGAGCCTAAACGATCCGTCCGTCTGATGACAGCGGGGTCTATTCGGTTGCAATGCTGGCGAGAGTGATGATCGCGATGATGATGATGATGGTGATGAGGATGACGGCTGTCATGATGGATGGTTGTTCGTGCTGAGCACGCGGCCGCGGACTCTGACCGAGGGGCCGCTAGCCCGTGCCTCGGAAGAGCTTGGTGAACCAGCTCTCCCTCTTCTTGTACTGCGGGTCGGGCTGCTTTGAGTTGAAGTGGTCCGCGTTGACCTTCAGGATGGCCGCCTTCGTCTGGTCGTTGAGGTCGGCGAGCCCGTCCTTGGTGGTCATTGGAACCACCAGAGCGTAGGCAACTTCGTTACTGACGGTGGCCTTCGCAGGCCCTTCCATACTGCTTTCTTTCCTGGGGATGGCTGCCCCTCCTTCTCGGTGGTCTGCGGGCGATGCACTCCAAATGTCAGGAAACCGCACGGGGTGTAGAAAACTTCGTCGCTGGACAACTTGAAAGTGATCACCTTCTCTGCCAAGTGCCCCCCCCCCCCCCCCCCCCCCCCGGGGTCTCAAGGAACTTGCCGTGCTCCATTGCCGAAGATCTGTTCCATCGGCGTCAGCCGTAGGTAGAGCGTCTGCTCGAGCATGATCGCCAGACAGGCGCTCCCAAAGAGGGGGAACGCCTTGGGCCCGAACCTGCAGCAATGCCCCCTTGCTGCTATCATCCACGGGCCGCCGCCGTCTCCAAGCTCGACGTTGGCGCAGAGCCGCTTCATGGCCTCGTCGATCCCTAGCCCGTCCACGGCGGAGACTGCTCCGCTCCACGAAGGGTTGCGACTCATGTGGCCCCGCATGTTCTCAAGCTTGTCCTGGGCGCACTGCTGCTTCACGGAGCCCCGAATGTACTGGGCGTGATCGCCCTCAGCGGGCCGCGACGCCATCGCGGCAAAGTTGGGCGCGTCTGGGTTGCGCTGGATCTGCATCCACGTAGGGTTCTCCTCATCGTCTTCTGGGTCCTGGGTTCTGCACCATCTCGCCCGCCGCGTCGAAAACGCACGCCACCTTGGCCACATTCTCGGCGTGCTGCTGGCCAAACTTTCCGCCCGACAAAGCGTTCTCGATCGAGACCTGCCTTCAGTAGATCTTCTGTCTGCTCGAACGCTCGCTGAGGCGGGCGCCCTGCAGCATGTGGGTGGTTGAGGCGTGGAGGTCGTCTCCTTTGGCCTTGATCGAAAGGATCTTCGCCTTGATATCGTCAGCTTTGCCCTGCTCGCGTTCGATGTCTTGCTTCTTCGCTTTCTTGGCCGTCATTTGGAGCTCCTCGATCTCGTTGATCAGATCACCAATCGCCTTCTCCATATCAGACGGATCGTGAGGGAGCAGGCTGGCGCCGAGGTCCTCCCTGTCTTTGATCAGCTGCCTCACTGTCGCAACGACCCTCTGCAAGCCCTTGGAGCCAATGATCTCATGCATGTACTCGCCCACCGTGTCGATCAATGCGTCGCGCTGGCGGAGGTGCATCGCGCCGTCCGTGTCATCCACCTTCGCGCCTGGCCGCGCCCTCGCGGCGCCCGCGCTGCACTTGCCGCGGAGGCGCTTGACAGCGGGGGCGTCGGAGCCGTCGTCGAGCTCGCTCGTGGGGGATCTGGCTGGCGCTTGTCCCGGGTGAGATGCCGCTGGTGGACGGCCCTCCTGACTGCCAGCAGGGCCGTCGCCGCCGCTTGTCCAATCCCGAACGCCGTCGATGGACTGCTTCCCTGAGGCGTGGCGACCCTTGGGGTTGTCCCATAGCCAGACGAGATGCCTCCCAGCGCGATTTTCCATTGTCTTCTCACCCTCCGTGAGTTGACGTTCGTGCAGCTCGTCGAAATCGGCGCTCAGGTCATCGCTGTCGAGGCTCTCCGGCATCGAGTAGTCCGCCTTCATCTTATCCTTGTAGGCCCGATTGGTGTAGGAGCCCTCGTCTTCCATGTAGAGGTCTTGCTTGAGGGGCCCTCGCTCCTTGGACGCCTGGCCCTTCTGCTTCTGCAGCGCGTTCGCCTGCTTGCGGCCATCGGGGGGGAAGAACTCGCCCTTCCGCCATTCGGCAGGTTTTTCGAGAATGATCGCCTTGTTCTCTGCGACGAGGTCCTTCCCTGTGCCTTTTCTGCTCTTTCTTTAAAGCTCGGTGTCTGGCTCGTACTTTGCCGAGGCACTCCCGGTCGAAACATGCCCCCCAACATTGTTTGTAGCAGAGCCCTTCCTGTTCACGCAGGTGGCAGGTGATCGTCGTCAGCTTCGCATCTGCTCTGCCGCGCGACGCCCGCCTGGAGCCATGGGCGGAAGATGCTCCAAAATCTGAGGTTGCCCCATCAGCGTCGGCATCCACTTCAGCCATTGCTCTGTCCGAGCGATCGGTAAAATGACCGACTGGGATCGCCCGTGCACGTGAACGCCTGGAACGCATAAGCCCAAATGGGTACGATGTGGAGCGAAAAACGCAAGGAGGGGCTCGGGGCTGTTGTAGAGGGCACAAGCGATTGGAAGCCCGCTGGCAACAGGAGAGGGCCTGGCCACCGACCGCGGCAGCGGGGCGGCCGAGAGCGCAACGCTGAGTTGCCTCTACTCGGACCATCCGCCGTCGAAGTCCGCGGCTAGGCACTCCTCTGTTGCGCGCGGGGTTGCCGTGGGGCCAGACGGGGCGAAATCAATCAGTTCGGCTCTTGCCGAGGGCCTCTCCCGCCGGTTGCTGCGCACCGATTTGCTGAATCAAAGCCGGAGGGGCGAAGCGGGGTCCGACGTCGGCCGCTTCAAAGGAGCGCGCACTGTCCCTA